CACCGATCGCCGTTGTCCTCCTTCCGCTCGCCGAAAGGGGCGTTGCTGTCTCTCTCTGGCCTTCGACGCGTCGATCTCCTCGTCTTTCGCTGCACGTACACGGCTCTTTCTCCGGGCTTCATTGTAACTACCTTCTTCTCCCTCCACCGCTCACCGTAGGCATCATCCTCTAGCGTTGCCCTTCTCGGACAACTACCCCCACCAGCCGTCCTCGGCGACTCCTTCCACCGTCTCCTCCTCCTTTCTGCCGATCGTCGGAGTGGGTTCGCCGGAATCGCCAGCCTGCCTCGCCAGCCTGGGTTCCGGCCGATCGGGAACGTTCCTGGTAGCCGCGCTCTACCACTCGGTCCGGGCGATCTCGCGCGATTTCATCGATCCGCCGATCGTGTGACAGTGCGCTCTTCCTCGTTTGTGATCGTGCACGGTATACTACCCGGTTTCCGCGTTTCGGGAAGGATATAAGTGGTTTCTGTGCGAGGCGAAGTACTGTAGAGGTGACGCGCGGTGAATGTGGTGAGACAGCTCTCGGTACCCAGCCGCTGCCGGATTCCACAGATTTCACGCACCGGCGCGGCAGGATCGGATGAGGATCGGTGCCGAGTGAGACGCGGCCGCCGTGGTGTGGACGTACACTGGAGTGGACGGGATAGGTGCAGGCATGTTTCAGTGTTGGCTACGGTAAGATTGTTGTGTGCGTCGGGATCTCCATGGTGGAGCTGCTTGGAGGTTGTTACATTCTCTGAGGCTCTAGTGCGATCGTACAGAGAGCTCCCGAGGAGGGAGAATGCTGGCAGAGTGCGACTGACGTCTGTCCTCTAAACTACCCCATAAGAGGAAACACCCTCAGCAATAGATGACTTACCAGAATTCTTCATGGTACACAGAGTATTATATCAAGGATCCAGTGATGCAAGCCACCAGTCAGTGAGGTAACAGAACAGTTACTCCCAACAGAAATCCAATGACATGAACCACCCCACGAGATAAACCAGTCTACGTCAGACCTTCACAGTCCTCGACGTCCCCCGCGCGATCTTCGTTTCTAAAATCCTTCCGTCAACCCCGTTATCATAGATCCGACCATCCACGAAGAAACCGCTGGCGACGAGTGTGTGCTCCGTTCCATGCGCGGCAAACAACAGCACATCCAGCACCAGGAAGAGGACCCCGAAGAATCGGCGCAGCTGGACAGCTCCGGGAACGTGCAGCAGCCTGGTGGCCACCTCGAGGCGTTGGTCCACGCAGGCAAGGAGCTCGCGAGCCTGAAGACGAGGCCGACGACACCCGTCCTGGCGAACGACGGAGGGGGCGGCTTCTGGCTGGCCACAGTGGCCGCGGGGGCAGGTGCCCCGGCCGGGCTGCCCCCGCACGGGACCCATCATCCAGCCATGGACCCGACATGCGGCACCGCGGAGACCGGATTCATCAACAGCCAGCCGTCCATGGCCGAGTTCATGACCGCGTTGCCGCAGCTGGCCGGCGACGGCAGCCTACAACACTCGCCGGGCACCGGAGGATCCATCAGCCCCGGCTCCCATCATCCGGGCTACCATACGATCATGGACCCGCACGGAGTCACCGATCCTTCCGTCAACGTCCCCGAGTACCCATGGATGAAGGAGAAGAAGACCACGCGGAAGAGTAACCAACAAGGTAAGAGTGAAGATCGGCCTCTTCGTTCAGCAGGGATGATTCCGGACGCTAGGTTTCTAGGTTATGTCCGTGGTTTTAGATCGTTGAAGCAGAAGAAATATTGGGGAATACATTTGAAAGTGAGGGGTTCGATTTTAGCTGGCAGCGGTACGTTAGCTGTTGAGAGGAAAGTTTGAAGTAGTCAGATTTATAGTTTTGATAGGAGCGGAAAATGAGAATAGATGTTGGTAAGCTTGGAGGATAGATGAAAGTGTGAGACACTTGATTTAGTTGTAATATTTAGTATCTTTTAGAATGAGAGGCTCGAGAATGAGACTTCGAAACGAGTCGTTTTAAAATCCCATTCGATCACGATAACAAGAGTCAAACTCCTCGTCAGTTTCATTGAAACAGAAACAATCCTCAAATCTATCCCCACCTGCAACACACCCGCAATTAACATATCAGTCTTCGAATCATAAATCATCGTATTAATCAGAAAAAAGCATGGAAGCCACAAGGGTGCTTGTCATTATCAATTAAGACGTCCTCCACATGTCGACCGCGGAGGCTCGACGTCCCTCGTCACCGCGGGGGTAAAGCGACACTAAAAATCCCCATACACGTCGAGGCTTCTGACGATACAGACATCGCTGCAACTGATTGGTTAGAGGTTTCAAGGTTTTACGACGCGTGTTCCGCTCGACCGAAACAGTTTTATGGGCGACTTAAGAGTCGACGGTAGAGTCAATTAACGGCTCGGCGAGGATTCGACGTGTCTGTTTATTGGATTAGCTGGCCCTGTAACGTCGGTGGCGCATCGTCTGACCAGGGGACACATTGTGGCTCGCCGCGGGGCGCCCATTGTCCGTCGGGCTAATGACAGGCCGCCGCCACTCCTTTCCCTCGCAGGAAGACCAAGGAGCATCTGGGGTTCATCACACACGAAAACCGCACGGTTTCCCGCGGAACAGGCAAACAACTTCCCTTTGACCCGTGGAACGACCGAATTACGGTGTGTATCCGCGGCGGCTCGGTCGTAAAGTAGACAACGCGGACAATCGATAGACCGATGGCCGACACATGCGGGCCCTGCCGCAACCCTTTCAATGAGGATGAATTATTGTCTTCCGGGGAACTCGGTGTCTTCGCCCGTGACCCGAGAACCTTCGCCCCGATTCGTTCTGGTTTGAGGTTCCGTCCTCGACGCCGATTAGGCCATTCGGCCCGGACACGGGGCTGGCCGCCATTTGTCGCGACCATGTGTCGATCTGGACGCTCGAATGATTTCGTTGGGGGTTGAAGATCGATGTGTCTTTGGTTGGTTCGAAGTTTGTCGTTTTCGGTGTATCATTGTTGCATTTATATTGTTCGATAGAGAATGTGTTAGTTGAAGGATAGGTGATCGGTCGTTGTTCTTTCAATAAGGAAGACGAATCAATGAATGATGAATGGACACACCGTTGAAGATCCGAGGAGTTAATGTATTTCCTTGATGCTTTGTGTTGCGAAATGCTCGCGGAGGCTACCGAATTAAGAGAACGATGAATGAAAGCGCGTAACGATCATCGAATGTACGGCCTAATTGATACTGACGCGGAACGCCGCCAAATTGTACGTAACCCGGTAGCTAATCAAATAACGTTAATGACTGAACGCGTGACGCACGGTTTATTTTGATTTATTCGCTCGAGAGGATCGTTCGTCGGGCTTACTGCAAAAAGCGATCGTCGGGGATCATCGGAAACCGCTGGTTAGATTGCTCGATCGTTCCTGCGATTTTCAATGGTCAATATAACATGTGACAAAGGAAATCGTGATTGATGACTCACCGAGTCCTTATTAACTAACCTCCATTGATGCTTCGGACCTCTCCGTCTTCCTTTAAATTCTCCAAACACACCGTTCACAAGTGTAATCTCCATTTTCCCCAGAAAATCGCTACGAAATCAATTCCTCGATCAAGTACAAAACACCAGATCGTTATCCTTCGTCTCTAACCGATACCCAAAAGTTCTTAAATCAGCCAAGCACCGGCAACCCCTTCGACTCCACGCAATCTCGTCAATCAAGGCCGAAGAGGACCGAACGCGATCGTTTTCCAGCAACTTGTTGGCTATTGTCGGCCCATCGAGGGCCGATAAATCTGCGGAGAACGCCGCGGCACGCTCCGCCGACAGAAGGTCGCGTGTACAGGCTGCCTAGCCCTGCAATAGGATCACAGAAGGGTGGCCGAAGTTTATGGGCCACTGGGGCCGACGGTCGCGGTCCTCCGATGTCCTGCGCCTCGCTCCATTTATCCAGGCTCTCGTTCCAGCCCGGGACGGTCTGTTATCTGGAAAGTCGCGGGATCCCGAAACGACGGTGTCGCGGGCCGCGTCGGAAGATTAAGCGTTTGGCACGAAGGTTAACCAGCCGTTGGCCAGGCGGTAACACGCGGAATCATCTGTAAATTGAGCCGAGAGGGCCAATGGGGAGAGACCGCGTCGGGGACGGCTATAATTCACGCGGCCTGCTGGCACCGATGCCCTCGGACCACCCCTGTCCGCGTTTTGCCTTCGACCCTCGGCGCGGTGTCCCTTATCGCGGCCTCTCAACCCTTTCGCGATGACCAACGCTGACGGCCGAAAGTGAACATTTTCAAGATTCCCCGGCTGGAGGGTATTCTTTTTCAAGGGAGTCTTTTTCTTGAGGTTTCTGTGTGTTGTTGGCTCGACATGGTAATTCGATGGTTACACAGTGTATTGATAGGATTTTTCAATCCCTAGCAAATAGAAATATTAGATTGACGTGTAAAGTATTATCGTGTCTCAATATTGAGTGCGAGGACATCAAGGTTCAATAATTAGAGTAGATATTGATAGAACTTTTCAACAAGCAATTACAAGTTAGATCTATAAACTGTTATCCTATTACGTATCTTTGCAATGCCAAAAATTCTACTTTGAATTAACCTTCGCTGAACCTTGCTCACAATGTTCCTGTCCATCTATTCTCACATCACAGTATAAACACTGTATTCATAAATAAACTACACTGCCACCAGCGCAAACGTGCTAAAATTTAACGGACGCCTCATCCCTTACAGCAGAGAAACAGCACGCATCACCTCCGGTAACAATTCCCTCCCCTAAACTCTCCATCGTAATATTTCAATTAGCAGCGTTCCAACCCCAAATATTCCTCGAAGACGTCATCTTTGTCTCCGCGAAGACGACCCTCCTCTCGGTAACGTCTGATCGTGCGTCACGGTGGCTCGCATTAAATTCCAATCTGTAACATCGACGTGTCCTCTCGCCGCGGCGTGTTTCAGCCTTCCGTTCGAGGGGGCGTGGAACCACGTCCGATTAGTTATTTGCGGGAACCGAGGGCTGCCGAG